GATATAATTGTTTATTACTTATTATGTATATAGATTAATATTATTACTTATTAAATAAAAGTGATTTAACAATAAAAATATTTTATATACTTTTAGAATTGCAATTGAATTGATTATATATAACTGATCATTATAATATATTTAAATGACATAAGTTATGGTATAGTTAAATTATAGATGTTATACTAATAAAAAGTATATTAAAAATTAAAACCATTGCTATCTTTACAGAATACAAAATTAGATATGATATCGGATCGGTAATCGACCGATATAAATTTAATATCGGGAATATCGGATCGGCCTCCAAAAAATGGTATCGATACACCCCTAAAAAATATATATCCAAAATGATTTTAATTTGATAATCAACCATCTTCTATTAAAAATTTTAATAACAATTATCTAATAGGGACTTAAGTATAGGTATTATTATGTTAATAAAATAAAATAAAAATGGTGTTTTATTTGGTGATACATTAAAAAAAAGACTATTAAGTGGTATAATAAATAAGTTTGAAGTGTTTAAAAAACAGAAATACCTCTTTTATGTATTAGGAAAAAGATAGTTTAAGTGAATATTTTTTCAAAATTTTTATAAACTTTATTTTAATTGTTAAAAAAAATAATAATCGGATGAAATTTTTGAAAGATAAAAATTTTTAAATAAATGTGAATGCCATTCTTTTTTCGGAAGAATGAAATATAAAAATTATATTTTTTAAATAGCAACAACCTAATAAGAAAATTTAGTTTGCAAATCCCAAATCAATTAATAAAATATTTAAAATTTAGAAAATATAAATTTCAAATATTTTTTTTCTTCAAATATAGTTGATAATTATAATAATCTATAATTACAAGTACAAACCAAATATAATAATTTACATTTAGCATTTTAAGGCAATAAGTAGTGAAGGTCACGGTCTGGTCCTTGGTCCGGACTCGACCGATACCCTCGGACCGGACTGGACCACGGTCCTTAAAAAAAAGATTTATCCAGACCGTGGTCCTAAATAAAAATAACGGTCCTGGACCGGTCTTTTTATTTGTTTAAAAAACATATTTTTTTAACCTAATTTGATTTGTTTTATTTTATTAAATATAAGAGTATTATATAAACAATAAAATTTATCCAATGGTATTGAAGAAAGCGATTTCGTGCTTGTAGAGGGCATATTAAAATTAAGAGTAGATTGTGTTTATGAGGTATTTCCATTTTCATCATTAGAAGTATATATTTTATGTTTTATCAGATGTCTGCTTAAGGTACCTAATTATTTTATTAAGAATAAGGTTAAGTTATTTTGACAATGAATTATTCAGACAGTTTCTTAAGAAAAAATAGAACTATATAAATAATAACCAAAATATTTTAATAATATTACTGCTTATTTTGATTAATTTATTGCTTAAAAAATTATAAACAATTATTTTATTACTTGTTGCTGACGATACATTAAATTTGGCACTGCAGTGAACACATACTCTATGTTTTTTATTGGGATTATAAGTAAAATGTTTCTTGGAAAAACTTATGGTTTTCATATTGTAAAATAAAAATTAACAAAATCTATAATAACTCCTCTAGAAAAATATCATAAAATAAAATATACAAAAAATTATATTAATTAAATAGTAAAGCAAACTTAAACAATAATAAAAGAAAAGACATTTATCACCTTTCTTTCGATCTCGGATGTGTCTTTTTTTGCATCCCTTTTTGGATTTGATATTGCTTCAATGGTCCCCAAATGAAATCTGGAAAGGTTTCTTGCCTTAATTTGTTTACCGAGGCTATTGACATATCAATATGTTTAGCAATATCCTTTATTTTCATTCTTTCCATTTCGGGCTGGGATAACAATTTTGTTACTATATCAATTTTCTCTTCATTCAACAATTATATTTTCTTTTTGGGTTTTGTAATTAGATAAAAAGGAATTATAAAGGAATTTCTAACACTATTATTGGTATTATTGGATATAATATTATTAATATTAAACATTTTAAATTTAAAAAATTATTTTTATGAAAAATTTTTATATAAATAATAAATATTTTTATGAAAAATTTTTATTTAAATAATAAATATTTTTCCCAATACATAAATGAGGTATTTCTGTTTTACACTTCAAACCTATTTATTATACCACTTAATAGTATTTGTTTTTAATGTATCACCAAATAAAACACCTGCAACCCTGTAATATACTTTAATATGTTTAACAAAGTTTGTAAAGGAGTTTGTTGAACCTTTAATAACTTTTTTACTTGTGCAATTTTGACATTCAGCTTGTACCTTGTTCTTTTTCACATGAATTACTTTATAAAATTTTCCATCTAGAATTTTAAGATTCGGATTTGATTCAGGAGAACCTATCTCCATAATTTCATCTTCACTACTATGATTGTTAAACATTCTACAAATTTAAAAATATTACATATAAAATATATCCTTCTATTTAGTTTTGGTGTTGTTATTTTTAATCTATCTATCTTTGTGACCTGTAAAATTTCCAACTAATTTTAGTTATCAATATATTTAAAATATAGCGGGAAAAAATAAAGAAAATTATACAAGATTTCACGAAGAAAAAGTTACATTGTGTGATATGTAAATGTTTTAAACATGAATATTAAAAAGAATCTATCTATATTTTTAAAGAAAATAAGATACAAGATTCTTTTCAAAATAAAGGATCTTAGATACAGATACTAGTATCTTATTATAAATGTCATAAGATACTGAGTACAAGATACAAAAGGATTTCGCAGTACTGCCCAACTCTGCATACAGGACATCAACAAATTAAATTCACAAACTTGATAGCTTAATGAAAATAAATAAGCTATTTTAAATATAAAAATAAAAACATGCTCAGGACATAATTCTAGAAAATTTTATAAATTTCAAAAATTTAACATGTGAATTTGTTAAAATTGCGAAAGTTGTAAATTCTTTTAAAATGGTTTTGAACACAGTAGAAATCTATTTTTCAGGTCTGACCCATTATTAGAAAAAAATTGTTCGATCGACCCTATCCGAGAATTTTTTTTATGTATTCGATTTTTTCATTGGACCATTGAAATTATTATACAATACATTCAAATGTTTAAATGCAACTACATTTAAAAATATTTTTTTTCAGTAAAATATGAAATTCTGCTCTTTTTATATCTTTGATTCAAATCACCCCGTTATCCTTGGTATTTGCATTTGCATCAACATTCTTCTCCAAGGACTAATTCTTCTTTTGCCCTTCATCTTAACATACTTGGGTTGGCATCAAAGATTCTGCAAAGGGAACGGACAGAATTTTAAAAAAATTTAACGGGCAGGGCCGAGCATTTGATACATAACAAATTTCAGGCCCCGAACAATTTATACAAAAAAATTAGAACTTTTTTTCATAATATTTTAACAAGCCAACTTAGGAATGGAATTTTTATATATTTTTTTTAATTTAAAATATTAAATTTATAAATAATATAAAATCACAAAAAAATAAAAAGTTATTGATGATATGATCCAATTATAAATACACTATACAGATGTCAAACACACTTGATTTATAATACAGTTGCTGTAGAAATAGATAGCCAGCAGCCTAAGAGCCTTAATTGATACTGGGAAAAAATTAAATATAAATATTAAAAATGTGATGGCCGAAAATTTGTATAAAAATTTAATGGGATGGGGCCAACTTTTTGTAAAATTTTAGCTGGTCGAGAAACTTTTGTTACAATTTTTAACGGGCCGGGCTTTGCAAATTTCTAGTTGGCTAATTATTTTAGTCAATCGTCATTTTTAGCCTACGCATTTCGTCATTCTTAGCCTACGCATTCTCATTCCATATCAACTATTTCGACTTATGTGACATCTCTCCCTTCTATTCTTGAATCTGGCTTGGGATGGACCTGAAACTATAAATCGATCCGCGGTGTTGGTCTAGGCGATTTCTTTAGCATTAACTTCCACAAACCTCGCTACTGGGTGGCTTGTGCTTGCGATCTGTGCAATCCTATTTGCCTTGAGAATGATGTCAATACTTGAGAAGCTGCCAAATTAAATATCTTCCATTTTCTTTACATTTTTTTAATTTTATAATTTTATCACATATTTAAAATTAGTTAAAATTATAAGCGTTTTTTTGCTCTTTTACGATCAACATGAATTATGATGATGATTAACGTTTAATCCTTTCCTTTACCAGTCACTTTTTGTTATATAATAATAATAATAAATATTGATTTTTTAAACTAATCGAAAATCGTTATATATTATCTTTTTCGTTCCCCCTAATTTAATCCCTAATAACCTATTTGATAAAAGATTGTGTTATAAGTAGACCTGGGCGTCGATGAAAAAATTATTTGCTATGGCGTTTTACTTTAAGACTATCGTCGATCGGTAGCGTGCTAATTTTCATGAAGCCGTTCATATTGACGGCGACACGTGCCGAAATTTCTTAACTTAAAAAATTATTTTTTTCATGAACACTTACATTAATAATTTATTTTAATCAACTTTTGCTAAATAAAATTTATTAGATATAATTATTTAGAGATCAAAGCCCGGTTTTGACCTATTAGCAATTTTTGCACAAGTTGTCCAGTCTGGCCCGTTAAATTTTATGAAAAGTCCACCCCGGCCTTTAAATTATTTTGTACAAATTTTCCGGCCATTACATTTTTTGATATCTGTATGAGACTGAAGCTCTTTTAATTAAAAATAGTTTTCCCTAACATGGTATAGGCTAGATCTAAATCTGATTCGTCTATATGAGAAAACTAGGTTTAATTTGATTTTATATATTTATTTACCTTATTTTATATTCAAGTTTAGGAAAATTTTCTTTTATGAGAACTATTAGGTCATATTGATAATAATTCGCCACAATTCACTTTCAATTTTTAACCGCTATTTTTTTGAATAACATTCGTCGCAAAATAATATTGTTACGATTTCTTTAAAAAAATATACTTGCTCACTCTAGGCAAATCCTTCGACATAACTTACATCCGGCTCAAATTTCGGTCTCCCCGACCCGAAAGCTTCGTCATTTATAAGCGCACCCGACCTGAATTACCCTGGGAACCATACCAATACTACAGCTCTACCTGCATCGACACTTATTCTATTAAGCCTAACCAATATATCACTCGAGCGCGTGAACGTATGGCGATTTGCACTCCGGAGGTGAGTGACATTTCGCCCCTCACCGGAGGTAACATAGCCTTCAGCACACTAGAGGGCCGACCCAGTGCTTTCAATTTCGAGTTCAACCCCGAACTTCAGGTTAATATCCGGTTTTTAGTACTACACTAAATAAAAAAAATTGACTTATACCTTATAAAGGTTGATAAAATTAGATGACACTGATCTTTACATTAGTGATCTGCATCGGGCCTAATTTTTCAAGTCCGGCTCGGCCATAAATTTTTTAAAAAAAGCTTTGCCTGCCCGGCTCTAACCCGAAATAGTTTTTTAAAAAATTTGTCGGCCCGACCCGGCCCGAATTTATTTAAATATAGAAATTCATTTTTATAATTACTCAAAATAAAAGATATATGTTATATAGCGTCTAGTTTCTATAAATAAAATATTTTAGTTTTACATAAAAAATTTAATATAAAATTGATAAATTTAGATATATTTAACAAAAATTTCAAGACCCGGCCCGAATTTTTTTAAAAAATATTAGGCCCGACCCAGCCCGTACATGATTTTTTTTTAAAAAAATAGGCCCGACGGACCGTGACTAATTTTGCAGATCTTTACTTTACATATTATCTTAGTCAAAATTTCGAACTAGTGAAAAAATTAACCAATTGAATTCGCTTTTCTCTTGTTTGCATGAAAGTTTTTAAAAATAATCTTCGCTTTTTAAATTCGATTTTACAAGGAATTATTGATTATTTATACAAACATTTTTTTATCTATCATTACAATTATTGTAGTATATGTAATAAAGAGTTCATTTGAATATTCAAGATTACCAATTAATAATACGGATTTTTTAAAAAAATAGAATTTTTTTCAAAGGTATACTGTAGAATGTATATACTATAATTACCATGTACTATTTTTATGGTTGGAACTCCTGGGTGAAGTCTTTATAATCACATGATTTACTTGGATTTCTGTCAAGAATTATTTTTTATGAAATTATAACCCTATAAATTAGTAATTTATTTCGAACATATTATCTGTCTATGTATATCTAGTTTTGTTTGCATAAATATTTTAAACCCAGAATCATCCCTTATCTACAAGATAAACAAGGAGGAATGCAACAAAATGATATAGGGGTATATCTTGTGGGGTGTATCACTCCTCACTGTAGTAATTTGAGGTCTATATTACGTCACCTCTCTTAAGAAATTGTTACTGTAATTCTACCTTTTTAAAAAATCACACGATTTTCATTAAAAAAAATTTCTCATATGTATACGTCTATTTATTATGCTATGTAATGTATTTTTTTTACGATGCAATGGCTCTCGCTTTTATAAAATGATAATGGGAAGAGGTTTTCATTCCTTTTTTTTTGAATTTTTTTTACTGGCTTAAATTTGGGAAATTGAATGAAATTCTATCAATTAGCAAAAAATGTAATTTTGTCTAAAATTAGCAAATAAATAAGGAAATCTACATCTATAAATATTTTAAAAAAATTCAGGGGGATTGAGACCTTCTACTCCTAACGACGCTACCGCTAAAAACTAAGGATAATGTCGATATAAAATATCTTATTGTATAATAATTAATAACATGGATAAAATGTTGGAGTTAGAAATTGATGGAATCAATCATCTATTTACAAAATAATTGAACCTAAAAAATTGGTTAGATCATTTAAAAAAATATCTGGAGATAGGTTAGTAGTAGTCTATAAGTGATTAGCAGAGTTGTTAAAAGATACTTTTTAAATGGATCTAGATACAGATACATAGTCTCAAAAGTTATCTAGATACAGATACAGCGTCTAAAAAGTTATCAAGATACAGATACAATTTTTAAATGTATCTATATACAGATACATTTTTTATTATGGGTAATTCCATACCAAATCTATAACTTTTCGGCTCGACCTTTTTAATTTCGATAAAATTTTGTATACTGAGAGAATATCATTAGGAAGCATCGAATCCAAAATTTTAGCCTCCTAGTACTCATAGTTCCTGAGATATCAATGGTCAAAAGTGCCAAAAATGACGTTTTTTCGAAAAATGCGAGTTTTTATAATTGAGATAAGTTAAAAAATAATGATTTTAAAAATATAAGTTATATGTCAATTTATAACTCTATTAAGGGCCTTTTACTGAATATTAAAAATTTTTTCAAAATAATATTGTTGCGGTTTTTATTTAGTTATAAATTTTAAACATGAAAACTCCAAGTGTTTCGCTTTCCAAATTTTTTTGAATTTAATATTTTCTTATTCTCTAACCTTATATCTATTCATAAAAAAAATTTAAACTTGGGACAGCCATGGGTTTTTTAGTTATTGCGATTTAAAAAATCAAAAAATAAATATTATTTTCAAAAATAGATGGCGCTCTTTATAAAATTATTATTTTTTTTAAACTTTTTTCCATTTTAAACATAAATAATAAGATTTTCCAGCATTAATAATTTTAAATTTCGTAAAATTATTTTATTAATTTGTAAATATAATAGATAAATAAAAATTCATGAAAGATATTACTTATTTTCGGGTTTTCCTTAAATTTAATTGTTTTGACGCCATTATAATTTCGTTTTGCGATAGATTATATGTACGCCCAGTAGCCGTTGATGGGTTAACTATTGTTAAAATATTATTTTTTGGTATGTAAAGGAGATCTTGTGCCGCTGGATAAACAAAAGAATTTGCTGGTCCTTTAGGATGAAGAAAATTAATTTTTATTTCATCTCTAATTACATTCACTTCTTGTACAAATCTAACCACCAATCGTTATCATACACACATGTTACATATCCTCTAATCTCATCGATTAACAGATCCTCAATCAAAAGATCTTCACGTTGATATATTATATTCTCCACAACAAATGTCTGCGAATTAGAATATAGTTTAGTTTTGAGCTTAGTTAAACCAATCGGAAACACTGCGTGAATTTTTTGTGTCCCAGGTATTGAGATAGCTTTACTAATCTCTCACGTAGCCTCATCTCTTCTTCCTCATACTCTGGTATGGTGGCATAAGAAAAATTTATACCTTTTATATGCTCTTCCGCATATTTATAAAATTGTAAAGGTGTAATTATTTGATCAGTATAAGGTCTTTGTAAGCTTGCCTTGGCAACTAACCTTTTTACTGTGTCGCCTATGCCGTCGCAGGCACTTCTACCATGTGCCGTAGAAAAAAAATGCCATTCTGCTTGGACACCAAAATCGATTTCATGGTAACAAACATTGATGAAGTTTTTCCTATTTTTATATTGAGCTGCTGAACCATCAGAAAAGTAGTAAATTTTTTATGGTGGAGTGTCGAATTTTTTTTTTTAAAATTAATCAAATGCGATTGGAATAAATGGAATGAAACAGTATTATGAATTAAGGATTCCGATATTACCACAAAACTTAGGTTGTTAATTAGATTGCCTATTTTTTAATAAATTGAGAATGGATGCAGCGTAGCTTGCGAAGTTGTCCAAAGATAACCCTGAACTTCGTCTTGGACAATAAAGGAATAATTTTCTGAAAAGTCACAAATAATTAGATAGTGATTATTTTCTAAACTATTTTTAAGGTTATTGTGAAATGAACTTTGTTGTTCACAAATAAATGAATGGCGTATGAGAATATTCATTTGATCGAAAAATTAATCATTTATTATAAAAACTAATAATTTTTACAAGTTATCAATAAAGTAATAATAATAATAAGTAAGTCTATCAAATGATCTAAATAATATATTTTCATAATATTAATGCTGGAAAATCTTATTATTTATGTTTAAAATGGGGAAAAGTTTAAAAAAAAAAATAATTATAACAAAACGCGTAATTTTATAAAGGAGCGCCATCTATTTTTGAAAATAATATTTATTTTTTGATTTTTTAAATCGCAATAACTAAAAAACCCATGGCTGTCCCAAGTTTAAATTTTATAATGTTAGAGAATAAGAAAATATTAAATTCAAAAAAATTTGGAAAGCGAAACACTTGGAGTTTTCATGTTTAAAATTTATAACTTAAATAAAAACCGCAACAATATTATTTTGAAAAATTTTTTAATATTCAATAAAAGGCCCTTAATATAGTTATAAATTGACATATAACTTATATTTTTAAAATCATTATTTTTTAACTTATCTCAATTTTAAAAAATCGCATTTTTCGAAAAAACGTCATTTTTGGCACTTTTGACCATTGATATCTCAGGAACTATGAGTACAAGGAGGCTAAAATTTTGGATTCGATGCTTTCTAATGATATTCTCTCAGTATACAAAATTTTATCGAAATTAAAAAGGTCGAGCCGAAAAGTTATCGATTTGGTATGGAATTACCCTTATGCTCTTATAGGTTTGCATAAACCTAAATTAATATTATATTGTGAAAAGGTCATGGTAAAGCAATAGAACTTGTTGTTGCTTCCTCTTCTTCATCGATATAGATCTAAATAAATATATAAACTTAAAAATTTAGTTATAAAATAAAATTTACCATTTCCATATTGTAATATTAAAATTTGTATGGTTTATGGATAACTCGGACATAATATTTAAATTAATGAATATTTATATATATTTTTTATATATAAGTTTTAATATTTTATGTATATATAATTCTTTATTATAGTATTAATAAATATTAATATATATTACAGTCAAATATTTTTATTTATAATAAAAAAAGGGGTGTATAAAATGTATCTTAAAAAGTATCTAAAAACAGATACAGATACCTCTAAAAAATATCTAGATACAGATATTTTTCTAAAAAATCTATCTAGATACAGATACTACATTTTTATATCTAGATACTTTAACAACTCTGGTGATTAGGTATTTAGGATGCTTTATATTTTAACGTATATTTCGAAATCTCGAAATAGGATAAGAATGATAAGGTCAGTAAATTGGTTTTTATAAGAACAATCTCCAGTTTATAGGGAAAACAACTTCTGCAAATGACAAATCGCTTGATTTTAGGTTTTCAAGCGCTGATTTAGAATTGTTTTTATCTTCAAACAGGCGCGTACGCAGGAATTTGGTCTGGGGGGGGGATAATAAATTTTTTTAAGAAATATTATTGTTTTTTAAAAATATCAAGCATAAATTTATTA